GGAAGATTTCAAGTTAAATTTTGTTAAATAAGTTTTTGAAGCCTTTCATTCACTTTTTACCTTTAGGGATACCAATAATTCATGTATTTGGTCACTGTATTGTGTCACGTATATCACAGAGGCTTTGTTTTTTCTTTTTCATTGTTTTTTCTTTATTTTTCTCTGAGTTACATCAAAAGTTATGTCTTCAGGTTCTGAGATTCTTTTGTGTTGCTGTTGTTTTAGTTTATTGTTTAAACTCTTGATTGTACTTTTTATTTAATTAAAGAAGTTCTTCAATTCCAGATTTTGTTTGGTTCTTTTGTATGATATGTATCTCTCATAAATTTCTCCTTCAAATCTTGAACTGTTTTCTTCTGACTTTTTGTATTATTTTTTGAAATTCTCTTGTATCTCACTGTGTTTCTTTAGTGTCATAATTTTGATTTTTTTCCCTGTGATTTCACACATTTCTTTTTGATTGGGATATGTTGCTGGGGAATTATTGTGTTCCTTTGGAAGTGTCATATTTCCCTGTTTTTCATGTTTCCTTACATTGATAACTGTGTATCTTGTGTAATATTCACTTATTCCAATTTTTTGAATTTGCTTTCACAGTAGAGGATTTTTTCCTGAATATGTGTCATAGTGTTGGTTAGTAGGACCCTTTGTATTTGATTCTGAGTGCATGCAGTAGTGCAGTCCCTATATGATTTATTTGGCTGTCAACAGCATCAGTGGTATCTATGATTTCCCAGTGGTTTAGAGTGTGGTTAAGAGTAGAGGCTATGGTGAAGTTTTGCTCAGGGACAGGGATTCCAGATGGGTTAGCCTTTGGTCCCCAGTGGTGGCAGCAGTGGGATGAGTATGCCTGTTCTTGTGCCCCTGTGTACAAGATACTTGCTCTGGTATTAGCAGGACCAGGCAGGCCAATTCTTGGGCTTCTAGGTAGTTTACTTAGATCATGGTAGTGACACTGGTGGATCAGGCAGGTGAGTGAGTTCTTGATTCCCTGGGTAGGTGGCGTGGTGTAGGTAGTGGCAGTAGCAGTTGTGGGACAATCTTCTAGGTCCTGAGCAGTGCATGCTGATGTTGGAGATAGCTACAGTGCAGTCTCCACCTGCAGCCCCAGTCATGCAGCTCTCAGGCTTGCCTGTTCTCAGTTGTAGCAGCACTGCAGTGGTGCACATAAAGGTAAGCAGCCCTGCCCTTTGCACATGAGCTTGATCATGGAAGTCATTCAACCAGTAGGAGTGTGGTCACTATCCAGGCCCACTCAAGGAGCCATCCGGTTCACCTGCCCTAGCCTCCAGTGGCAGCAGCGGTGACTGAGCCTGCAGAGGTATGCAGAGTGGGAGAGAGAATCCCTGTGCGTGAATCTGAACACAGAGGCCACTCCACCAGTGGAAGTGGGGTCACTGCCCTCAGCCCCAGATAGCTGGCTCTCATTTGGATTCCCAGTGGCAGCAACTGCTGCTGCAGTGTTAGGTGGGGGGTGTGAATGGATCTCACTCTGCTTGCAAGCCTGAACACAGAGTTTGTGCTACTGGTGAGGCAGGGTTTCTTCTCATAGCCCCAGACAGGAAGCTTTCAGGCTCTGGAAAGTGTGTGCCTTGGTTTCCTTTGTCCCAGAGACTGCAGTGTTAATGCACTACACCATCTCTTTTCTGGGAAGTAATACTACTTGTGGGCCACAGTACTGGGGCCCCGTAGCACCTTTGTTTCCAGCAATGCTATGCCACTGTAGCCCACCGGGTAGGCGCTAGGGAATGTCAGTGGGGGTTCCTGGGATATGGAGATATGAAGGCTATGTTTCTAAAGGGAGGATGTAACCCCATGATGGCTGTACTCTCACAATGGCACCCTGCTGTAGTTGCTTAGGTCTCAGGGGTGTGAGTGAACCAGCAAAAGTTCTCTGTCTGGTACAATGTCCTTTGGGGGTCTCTAGCTCACTGTCCATGTTAGTGTCAGGAAGTATGTGTGTCAAGGAGCTCTGCCATGGTTCAGGTTGTTGCAGTCCATGGTAGGGACATAGACCACTGAAGTTCTTACACCCTTTCCCCCGATAGCAAGCCCCTATGTGTTCCCAGCTGATTTTGCCTCCCTTCTGTATTAGTTGATTCTCACGCTGCTATAAAGAAGTACTTGGGACTGGGTAATTTATGAAGAAAAGAGGTTTAATATTCTCACAGTTCCACAGGCTTAACAGGAAGCATGACTGGGAGGCCTCAGGGAACTTATAATCATGGCAGAAAGTGAAGGAGAAGCAAGCACATCTTCACATGTTAGAGAAGGAGAGAGAGAGTGAAAGGGGAAGCACCACACACTTTCATACAACCAGATCTCACTGTCACAAGAACTGCAAGGGAGAAGTCCGCCCCCGTGGTCCAATCACCTCTCACTGGGCCCCTCCTCTGACACGTGAGATTATAGTTCGGGATGAGATTTGGGTGGGAACACAGAGCCAAACCATATCACCTTCTGTGTCTCAAGTATTTCCTGTAACTTCTCTATTGTACTCCAGTGTTCTCTCCTAGTTGTTCCATCTGAGGCGTGATTATTGATTCATAATTTTGGCTCTTCTTTCTGGAGAGAGTGAGTATGCAGTGTCTCTAGTCAGCTATCTTCAACTGGAGTCCCATGATTTAATATTTTTAAAGCTTGCTTTTTATTATTCGAGTTCGTATAACTATTTATTGGAAATAAGCATACTCTATAAGTACTTTGAACCCAGGCAAGAAAACATTTTACTTGTCCTCCTTGCCTTTGTAGGGTTTTCATTACATATCTGAAAGACTATTGGAAATCTCCCTTTTGTTCTTTTCTTTTTGATGGAATGCTTTATTAAAGGATATTATCATAGAGGCATCACCCACTCTATATGCATTATTTTGTTTCTCCTTTAGGGAAGTAGCTCAGGGTTGAATAGATCTAGAAATATATGATCCACAAATATTATTTCTTTTATGTTTTGTTTACATTGTTTCCTTTCTATCTAGCTCTAAGTGTACAATATTCTTAATGATTGAATTCTATTTACAGAAGTATAGAGAATAACATAAAAGCAACAACAGTTTTATATGTATTACATAGAAATATATGCAGTGATGGTCAAGATTCTATGCAAGAACCAAAAACATACAACTATTAAAATACAACACATGATAAATATTATCCAGCCTTCAATTTTACAGCCAGCTAAAAGGGTCAGAAAAAAGAGAAGAAGAGATGAAAATAGAAAGAGAGGAGGAGGAGGTAAAGGTCAAATGAAGGAAATGTAGGAGAGCTCAGAAAGAGAAACTGACAAGCTAAAATTCAATGTAGGAGGCAAAGCTTGAGTTGTCAGACAACAAAGAGAATATGTACACAAATAATACATGAAGAACAATACATAGAAAATCCAATACACAATATGGAAAGGTAGATTTGTCAAAAATTTGACCTTCAAGAATATTAAGATGAAAGCTTTTAAAATCATTTTCAAGTATAGCTATAACTAAAGATAGTCTCTGGGTCAGGTAAAATCCATGACCAAATTGAGGTATAAACACAGATGTTATTCATACTGACATGCTTGTCATGTATTTTCTATTTTGTCCCCTGTTACATTTTTGAATATTATATTCCTTTCAGTATTTATCTATAGTCCTTGAAAAATATTAACTTATCCCCCTTCTGATCAGTTATTCATTCATTGTCTATATCTATGAGAATAGTTTCCTTTAATTCTGTCATCTAGAGTATTTCATTATTCTTTTAAATATTTTTTTCACATTTAACTTCAGCATCGTAGAGAAACACAGTACTATAACAAAGCTGTTTGTATGAAGAGACCCCTTGGGCATGCCTTATAAACATGTTATTTTTATATACTTCATAAGTCTACAAATGTATATGTTTATACTTTATGAATACATTTATAAATATTAATGATGCATTCTCAAAATTTATTAGTAGTGATAGAGGTTTGTAATAAAAAATGTGGAAATCACTGCCATAGTAGAAAGCTCATGGCTTTTGGAGCAGTACATAGATTCCTGGGTTCAAATTCCAGTAATGTTACTTATTTACTTTATAGTCTTGGATGACGCACTGAGATTTCGTTAGATTTATCTTTTTAATTTTATTTTCTTTTTACATGTATATTGTTACATGATACCCTGCGTTGCTGTTAAGAGGATTTGGAGATACATACATACATACATACACACACACACACACACACACACACACACACAGGATAATGACAGCTATTGCTGTTATTTGGGTCTTCTCCATAATTTAGAAACTGTATTCCATTTATTTCTATAGTTAATGTGTTTTTTATAATTTTCTGTAAAATGTTGCAAATTATTTTTGCAGACATTCCATTTTATGTAGTCTGTGTAAAACAAACTATATGTTTACTAATCTTACAGAAGTAAGGTTTTGCACTGCTTATTTAATAATGACCCCGTGAGAGGTCTTTTTTCTTGAGGGAATAAGGAGCTTAGCTCAGCATATTATGCAGAAGTAGGATAGTTCTGAACACTATGTAATGTGATGGTCCTCAAACTGTTGACTGATATGCATAGAAAGAAATACCCTTTGCATTGCAATCCAGATAACATAATATATATTCATTTATATACTGAAACAAGGAATTGTACAATAAACTATGTTTTGTTTTTTCTTCCCTTTTATTTTATTTAAAAATCTCCTGTCAATTGATTTCATGACTCACTTAAAGGGTATAACTTGTAATTTGAAAAACACTGTTCTAAAGGACATAGAACAAAATAGCATTTAGCGTTGGTCATCATATGTAGTATAGAGATGATTTATAAAAGTTTTTTGGCTGAGCTAGCATTTCAATCTTGATATAAATGTTTTAATGTTATTTCAAAACCACATAATGTTGAACAAGTTTAAAATTGTTTTCTCAAAAGAAAATGTAATAAAATAATGGTTGATTTTTCTTATGGTTTTTAAACATTTATTGATGTAACATAAAACTGCATTTTTCTTTTCTCTTTTGACAGATTGGCTATTTGGTCTTCTTACGACTTTTTATATTTTTCCTGCATGGCCATCTAGAAAGTTTTAAGCAACATTTACTTAGGCTTCAACCACATTTATACGGTAGAATATCTTTTATTTTTTACACTTATAAATGTTTTATGTTATATTTTGAGAAGCTCAGACTGTCACTATAAAGAATGTAAGCTGCATTTTATTTTTCATAAGATAATAGGTGCAGTGTTGAAGAGCACAGCTTCAGGGCCAGATTGCATTTGTTCAGCTCACTGCCCCTCCAACCCCCATACTTTTGTTATTTCTTTGTGGTGAGAACATTTAGAACCTGACTCTACTTTTTTCCCAGCAATTTTGAAAAGTGCAGTACATTATTATTAACTATAGTTATCATGTCGTGAAATAGATCACTAGACCTTATTCCTTCTATCTAACTGAAGCTTTGCACCCTAATATCTCCCCTTTCCCCATCCATTCCTGCAACCTACTCCCTGCTCCAGATGCTGGTAATCCTCATTCTGTATTCTGCTTTTTACTTTGCCACTTAAGTGTATGAGCGTTTTTGTGGCTCAGTTTTCCTATTTGTAATAGTATCTACCTCCCTGAATTTCAGGAAAGTTAGATTCATATTTTAGTAAGGTTCTGGACCTGGTGATCCACTGAATCTAAGCTATATGTAAATAAGAGTGAGAAATTCAAGCAGGAGCTGAAGTTTTGCATATTGAGTAATAGAATTGAGATGATGTTCTGAACTAGGAAAAATTTGGAGAAATATTGGACATATTGAATTTGAAGGTCACTCAGGTATATATACCCAGCAAGCAGTTGAAAACATAGGTTTGGAACTAGGGAAATAAGTGAAGCCTGCCTGGGATATAGAATTGACAGTCATCCATGTTAATGTGGCTGTGGGCAAGGGGCAGGGAGAAACTAATTCCAGGAATGAAATCTTGGGGAACATACATTTAATGGATTATTGGTGTAACAGGGCCCAGGAAAAGAGAAATAAGGGAGGTGAGAGGGAGTGATTATGTTTAAGGAGACAAATTCAAGATCAATATTGCCATAGAAGTATTAAATAGTAGAAGGTCTGAAAAATAATGAGTTTCTACAATCAGAAAATCACTGCTGATCTTGGGAGCATACCCAGTGGAGAGGTGGAAGCAGAATTCAGATTGGAGGTAAACAGTGAGGGAAATTTTAAGCATAAGTCAAAAATTGTTAACTATTTCAAAAAAAGCTTAGCCATACATATTTATGCTGATATGTAAATATGTCAATAGTTTAGATGGATAAAACAAAGTCAAAATATTAGTGTGTTGTAGGATAAGGGAAGGAGAGACTCAAGATAAAGAAAGGGAATAATATTTGATGAAAAAAGTCACGGAGGAGGGAACAGAAGGTAGTAGCAGAAGCGTTATGGAGACTGATCAATTAATTCCATTAGCGTAAGTCCTGATCAGATGTGGCTGTAGACAGATAGAATAGGAATTCTTGTCTAACATTTCACTTGTTTTTATATCTTCATTAAATTATATGACCCCTTCTTAACTCCTCACTGTGTTCAGCATAGTGACTTATCAAATATTCAGATGATTATGGCAAATCAACTTTGAAAAATTATTTGAGTAAAACCCTCAAGTTCTCATATTAGCTTGTTATTGAGGATATACCCCCCTCAAAAAAATCTGTCTTTCATATATAATAATAAAATCCCCCAATTTTGTCCTCTTACCAAATATAATAGAGCCTTAGGTTACAGCTCTTCCTTTAACAATAGGCTGTTTTCTACCTGAAGCTATCAGCAGCTGCTATCTCTCCACATAGCTGTCCAGTAGAATGGTCATTATTAATTTTTCCATTATGTGGATGGACTAAAACCCAAAGTTTGTCTAAAAGTTTATAGAAAGAGCAGCACTGAGATGATTCTGTTAAATATAATGTGGTATTGTGTTAAATTACCTTATTGTTGTAAATAATAACATCTTGTTTATATTATTTACAACATGTTGTTGTAAATAATAACATCTTGTTTGTATTATTTACAACATATTGTTGTAAATAATAACATCTTGAGAAGGAATAAAACTGGAGAATGTAGGTCTAGAATCAATGACATTGATTCCTTTGTAGAATTACAATGTCAAAGTATCCATTATGAAGGCAGCATCTATTACAACTTGATTTATTTTCATCTGGAAGTTTCCAAGCTTTGTTGAACAGTAACTATATTTAATTGGGCATTCAATGATTATGAAATTGCTGTTCTGAAATATATAAACTCTTACGTATAAATTATTTACCGTCTAGTGTTCTATTACACCACCAGGGGGCATACATAACACTATAAATCTTAAATAGGAAACTACAGCAGCTTCTGCATCTAAGTACTGAATTTAATTATAGTTTAATAGCTAAAAGACAAATGAAACACAATGCAAAATATTAATAAAATATTTCTCACAGATGATTTTTCTTACAATAGCACTTTCTTTCTCTGGAGCATCATATCACAAGTATCCAAACATCTTTTCAAATGTGCAATTCATCCTGAAAGCCTCAGAAATTATAGGTAAAAGAGAACTCCGTTCTGAATCAATTTTTAGCCCTGTGGAAAATAAGAAAAGACATGAGAATACAGATTCTGATATGGTGGGTAATCTAGTATGGTGAGTATATCCTGTTGTTTGATGCATCAGATATGATTACTATGATTAAGTAATGGTGCTTGTCAATACAGTAGGCATTGAGGAATGATGCATTTAGCTGTGGAGGAGGGGTGAACAGCAAAGACACAAATTTCATGGAGAGTAGTTAATAGGATGAGTAGTGAGGTATCTGTATATAACACTACTACTTTAAATGGAGTAATGCCATAACACCTTCCATAAGTTCCATCTCACCTACTTAACTAAAAATTAGAACATAATTTAGACTGACTTGTAAGTTAACATTTTAAGATATTATATTTTTATTAAAGGGAAAGTGTGTACAGAGCAAGTTATTTATGAAAGCAGGCATAGAATTTTTATGCTTTCATAATTCATATGAAATAACATTCAATGGCCAGGCGTGGTGGCTCACGTCTGTAATCCCAGCATTTTGGGAGGCCAAGGCGGGCGGATCACCTTAGGTCGGGAGTTTGAGAGCAGCCTGACCAACATGCAGAAACCCCGTCTCTACTAAAACTACAAAATTAGCCAGGTGTGGTGGTGCATGCCTGTAATCCCAGCTACTCAGGAGGCTGAGGCAGGAGAATCGCTTGAACCAGGAGGTGGAGGTTGCGGTGACCCGAGATTGTGCCATTGCACCCCAGCCTGGGCAACAAGAGTGAAACTCCATCTCAAAAAATAAATAAAAATAAAATAAAAAATAAATAACATTTAATATGCTATTAAAGTCAACTGAAAACTTTAAAAAATAGTTTAAATGGGCAAATGATAATAATCTTTAGATTATGATAAATCTCTTAATTTCTAACTCAGATATTAGTAATCTTTAAAAAAAGCCCTAATTAAATAATTTGTTGGTATTTAATAAACAGTACTATGTAAACACAAGTACAGTGAGCCATATAATTGTGCATATACCTTATTGATTAATACACTTCAAAAGACAAATTTTAATCTCTGGGGCTAATAATGCCTTTCTTTCCTCACAGATTTTCCAAAAAAGACCAGCAAGCATTTCAAAACCTTCTTTTATTTTTTGTTAAACATATTTACTATTTTATAGCTTATAAATAGAAAATTTGTTTTTCTTACAACTTCTAAAAAAGGAAAAATACATTTAACATGACACAAGTTGAAACACCTAAGGAAATGTGAGGAAGATTCTCTTTTTAGATGATGTTGTGTGTTACCTTATAATTTTCCCATGCTTCCTGTGAGCCCTTTCTAAAATCGGCTATAAATTAAATATATAAGAAAAAACATTCAAACACATCTATTTGTAAGAGAAAATACTTTCTGGGCCTAAGTGTTTTCTCTTTGGCACATTACTAGTTCACCATTTATGTAACAAGTGACATTTACCAAGTGAATTGAGCCTTCTGGTTATAATTACTAATGAGCACAAATTGCCTCGTGAGAAAGGATCTGTTTTTAAGTGTAAAAAATGTTTTAACAGTAAATAGATAATGAAAGATATCAAGCAACAGAAGGAGCACTGATCATGAAGAAAACAGACCTGCTTATGAACTGGTTCTGTGATCTAGGAGAGGCCCACCGATCTCACCAAACTCCCATTTGCATATCTTCAAAAAGTTGTCATTATTGTCATAGTCATCATCATCATCATCAATCTGTCTGAACTCTTTTACAGCATTGTTATAAAGATTGCAAAAAAAAGCATGTGCTTTATAAAAGTATTAAATGCCATGCAAACATGAAAAATAATTATTGAAAATATGTATTTAGGACCTCACTTTACCCTAGACAGTGAACTATAGTATTTTCATCTAAGGATGTAAATATGTTGACTTACTGTTGTGATTGGAATGTTTTTCCTTTAAACAAATAAGATTCCATGAAATCTTGGCAACGTGAATGGTCCGGTTATGAGGTAGGCAACTGTCAATGTTGATTCTGATGCTCTTTAAGAATGAATCCATTTTGTCTCTCTTGGTGCACACACACAGCAAGCAAATGGAAGCTTACTGCTGTACAGCTCAGCCTGAATTAGAAGGGGCAAAAATGTCAATACAGGAAAGGAACATATCAGCTTAGAGTTGGACAAGTCACTAAATCTCTCTGTGCTTTTTTCCACTTTGTAGAACAAAGCTGAAATTCAACCTCTTCTAAATTGTATTTCAGCTCTATCCATGTGATCCCGTAAGGGGATTATAACAGAGTTTGGCCTATCAGGTTTATTGCCCTTCTTTTTCTCCTCCTCTTATCTCATAATATAAAGATATAAATATAGGATAGCATAGCCACAGTGCTGCTAAAATTACTGATTTGGCTAATCAGCACTCAGTCAGTGCTGGACTGCATATCTTAAAGTTCCCCAGTTTCAGCCCAATTTATCCAGTACAGCCAGCCTTTCCAGTTCAGTTGAGTATTTACTCATTCAATACCCATCTCTCTCACCTGGGAAAGGAAAGAGGAAAAAAGATATAAAAGTGATAGAAATGGAAATATAAAAGATACATTTGCATCAATCTCTTCTCCTTTCCTTATGATTGTTTTAGTATATTATAGCAGAGGATTTGTGAATTTATTCCTACTGCCCTTATCATTTGATAATGCTAAAAGGTCTATAGCACATATTTTGGCCACTGTAAAATATTTGATTTTTAGTATTCTTATATGCATTGGAACAAAGTCATAATTACTTAATTTGTTGTCAAAGTGCTACCAAAATTGCACGGAAAGTTCTATAGGATATTACGATACATTAGGATACACACCATATGAGCATGGGTTCCACTTAAGAATAGGAAATTTCCTTTCCTCTGCTGTTGGACCCCATTTCTCTTTTTAATGTCTTTTTAAGTGAACCAGACACAGGGTTTCCACTGACTTTGACAAATGGTACACTTAATTAGCTCTTTGGATAGCAGAGCCAGAATGCTGGATTGAGTTTTCCACTCTGTCCTTTGCTCACTAGCAAAGCTGAATTTTCTAAGCAGAGTTGTCACCTGGTAGTAATAATAGTTATTTGGAGAATGTAGATTTAAACCCTGCTACAATGAAGTAGACCTTTTATTAAATAGTTTCATCTGTTCTGAAGAACAAATAGTTCTCTGAAAACTAGCAAACACAGAGTTTACATTCAAGTATGATTAGCAATCTCATTCTCTAACACCTTTTGGTAAGCCAAAGTCATTACCTAATTTTGGGACATTTTGTGTTGTCCTGTAATTGTAAATGGTTACTAGGAATTATTAGACTGAGACATAAATTCCTTAAAATTAGGAGCATTATCCTATGATTCATGTCAAATTACCCAGGTAACACTTCGTATTGGGAGATCCTTTCATGGCAATGTCAACCATCCCCCAAATGACTGAAAACTACATGAAACCCAGAAAGCTGTCCCTGAGCAGCCAAAATAGAGCCCATGCTTCAAAGCTCATTTCTGTGATAAAAGAAAGCCTAGTCAGACACTCAGAATTTATGTACTTAAATTTGCATAAAATCTAGGCTGGTGTTGTTAACTAAATTTTCAGCCAACAGTAGATTAACAACACTTTTGTAGGTGGGCTTCTCAAAGTAGGCATTGTTCCAGCTACAAATGACAGCCCAAAGCTGGACAGCAAGGGAGGGAGATGAAAGAACTGTGGAAAGTGGTTATAAAAGCCAAAAAAGAAAGGAAGAAAGGGAAGTAAGGAGGGAGAGAACAAAGAGAGGGAGGGAAGGAGAGAAAGAAGGAAGAAAGGGAGGGGAAAAAAGTTCTCTGGGAGTCATTTAGGGCGGTGCTCAGTGCTTTTCAAACTATCTGTGGTAAAAGATCTCTCCTAACTTATTTTTAAATTTCCAAGCCATCACAGATGGATAATTTTGTAAAATATAATAATAATAATAACAAATTACTGAAAACTAGAATAGAAAAGACGAAAAAACACAAGCTTTAATTTTTAATACACTGAATATATATATAATTATTTTTCAAATTGTTATGAAAGTTTCTAAATACATATTTTTCATTTTTTGTGCTCTCATTAACAGTTCGCAAATGGCAGTTATCTGCCAACCACACCTTGAGCAGGACTGACTTAGGGTAAAGGCACAGAACTCCAAGAGTAAGCAACATTGCTCACTCTTGGTCTTCTGCACTGTTGATATACATGATGATTGTATTAAATCACATAGTCATCATCATTACATTAATTCATTTAAGTTTGATAAATTTATTTTTTATTTGGAAAAATGTTTCTTGCTGAAGAATGCTCGATGGGCCAGGCGTGGTGGCTCACGACTGTAATCCCAGCACTTTGGGAGGCTGAGGAGGGTGCATCACCTGAGGTCAGGAGTTCAAGACCAGACTAACCAAAATGGTGAAACCCTGTCTGTACTAAAAATATAAAAATTACCTGGGTGTGGTGGCAGGTGCCTGTAATCCCAGCTACTTGGCAGGCTGAGACAGGAGAATTGCTTGAACTGGGGAGGCGGAGGTTGCAGTGAGCCGAGATCACGCCATCGCACTCCAGCCTGGGTGACAGAGCAAGACTGTGTCTCAAAAGAAAAAAAAAAAAAAAAAAAAAAAAAGAATGCTTGAAAGAATGCTTGAAATACATAAAATCCCTGAGACTAAATAATAAGTCCTACTTATCTGGAAAATTCACAGGTGTGGCAGGTTCCTTTCCTCTTGATGATGCCAATGTTCTACTGCCAAAGACCACCGGGAACACATCTGCAATTAGGCATATTGGGTTTATTACTTGTTGCAGAGAGAGAGAGAGAGAGAGAGAGAGAGAGAGAGAGAGAGAGAAATACATACTACAAGGAACTATGGAATGTCTTAATAAGAGAGTGTTAGAAGGAATCTACTAGAGGATTTGGACTTTATTTGGATGATCTTGGGAAGACTCTAAAGAAGCAAGGGTTCTCTCTAGAGGTCTGATGCTGTCAAAAAGTGGGGGCAATTCTATGAGTAGGTATTTTTTGGGTGGCACAGTGACTTTGTTTATATCTGTGCTTAGAAAAAAAATTGTCCAGTGGCTTTGTTTATTTCTTATAGTCTCAGAGTAATATTGTCTGAAATTGCTATTTTTTGAGTTTATGTCCAATAGGAGATCAAAATCACCTGGCTGTATCAGACTGGCTTGTAATAGTATGTCAAATCAATCCCAGACATGAGAGGATGCTTTTTATTTCTCCGCGATGTGTAAAATTGGCATAATATAAAATTGAAGATAAAACTCAAATCTTGTTCATTGTCTAAATCCTGATTTTTTTCTTTACCAAATGCTTTCTGAATTTTCTCTGATGATGGTACATAAATACATTAATGCAAGAATGGTTGACCTAATTGAATAGTTTATGTAGTCCTATAATATCTATGATTAAAATAATATTTATTATAAATTAATAATTCAAGTCATTCCAAAGCTTTAAAACATATTTATTTACTTATTTATTCAAAATAAGTTTGCAATCTGAGGATTGTCAGGCATCCAGGCTGAGACAACTAGAGCAATTTGAGAAAAGAATTTCATTTATATGGGTTCCAGTTTTGGGGTAGACCCTACCCATAAAGCAGAAATTGAGTTATATGTGGATTTGCTGAAGTCAGTATGTCTCAGACTAATGCTTTACATTATTTTAGAATAGTGCTTTTGTGTGGTGTATTCTAATACTCTAAACACTGAATTGTTTTCATTTGCTTTTCTGAATTATTGTTCCCCAGAGTCAGTAGCTTTGTACAGATGTTGTCTTCCTCATGCCTTTATCTCCAGAATCTAACAGAATTCCTGACATAAAGTAGATAAATACACAACTATGGGACTTAACTAAATTCTTTATTAGAAACTTAAAATAGCTTAAAATTTATGTATGAACTTCTTGCCTTCTATCTGAAAAGTACTCAACATAAAATTAAATTGTAGTCCTGATGTTGTTTTATATAATATATAAGAATTATGAAGCCCTTTAGATTCTGTTTCATTTTAACATAAAAATCACAAAGTATCAACTAAGTTAACAATTGGAGTACCTATCACAGGATATGTATTTGAATCTTCACTGTTGGCAAAAATTTAGAGAATGCTATGTCATCATTTTCTACCAATTACTTTAGTAGACCAATTAAATGTATAAAACTGTTGGGAAGCACTCTAAGAAAAAAACTAAACAACAGCTTATTTGTTATCTTAATTTTTAGACTTTAAGAATAGCTACTTAACAGACATTGATGATGTCTTGCTAGGCATATATTTTGGTCCTTAAAGTAGAAATCCACATTTTAAAACATGATTTGCTGTTAGTGTTTTGTTCAAACTTTCCCCATTCTTTCTTTCTCAAGTGTCAGGGAGAACTAAGTCACATAGAATCTACGAACCACAATTGTGTCTAATAGCCATCTCTTATGGGATCCAGAATTTTTGCCATATTGTAGAGCTGACATCATTGAACACAAGGGACCCATGTGAAAAATACATACGTTAGGTTCAGGTTAACTATATGTACTTCAAAAATATGCTTATGTAAATTGCTCCACTTGGTGAAATATAAAGTGTAAGAGAATATGAATTTTCATTTGTATATTTAAAATTTATTTTCATGTTTGTTCAAGTCAGAGTATTCTTTCTCAGATATATTTTTATATTTTAATTCCTGAAACATTTGCAATTTAATCAGGGAGGATATGAAATTAACCACCTGCTCTGGCACTGTGTTGCTGCTTGGTCTTGTGTTCAGAATAACAGTCCTCAGTTGAATAATGTGCTTGAACATCTCATCTTCCATAAGACACAGCTTCAAAAGAAATGCTGGTAAGAGTGATCCTATAAATCCAAAGTAACTCATGGAGAAATCTTTGTGCTTAAATGTTAAATAACCCTTGTACCTAAATGTTAATCACACCTCAGTTGACTATGAAACAAATTTATAATCTCGGTTCCAAAGGCAAGGGTAATTTACATGTTTAGTATTAATTCATTTCATCAATACATTGTTTCTCTCTTTTTCTGTTTTGCTAGATATGCATGCATGCACTGCATAGTTTTTTTTTTTATTAAATGCAGTTTTTATTGACAAGAAATTTATTCCTGCCTGCAAACAGCCTTTATATTCCAAGTTGTTAAACAGAAGCAGTGAAGTACAATATACTGTTGGAGAAAATATACTGATACTGTATTTCTTTATGCCTTACTTATAATGTATAACAAAAATGAATCTTAAAAAAAATTTTTTTTGGTCTCACTCTATCACCCAGGCTGGAATGCAGTGCGGCAGTGCTGTGATCTCGGCTTACTGCAACCTCCATCCCTGGGGCTCAAGTGATCTTCCCAGCTCAGTCTCCCATGTAGGTGGGACCACAGGCATACACCACCATGCTGGCTATTTTTGTAGGGTTTTTTTTTTCTTTCTTTCTTTTTATCTTTTAGTAGAGACAGGGTCTTGCCATGTTGCCTAGCCTGGTCTCTGGTCTCCAACTTCTGACTTCAAGTGACCTGCCTACCTCAGCCTCCCAAAGTTCTGGGATTACAGGTGTGAGCCACTGCACCCAGCCAAAAATAAATCTTGACTGACAAATATTAGTTTTCTCCTATACATATGTTAATTTAAGATGAGAAAAAGAAGAGTCATAGTTTTGGCATGAGTTCAGTGTAGGAAAGATTTTTTAAATTGACAATAATTGTATATATTTATGAGGTACAATGATATGTTAGGATATATGTGTATCTTGTGGAATGAGTAAGTCAAGCTTATTAACATATCCATCACCTCACATCCTTATCAATTTTTGGTTGTAAGAACAATTCAAATTTACTCTATTAGCATTTTTGAATTATACTTTTTTTAATCATAGTCACAATGCTGCGCAATAGATCACTAGAACTCATTCCTCCTGTCTAACTGAAACTTTGCACTCTTTGACTGACATCTCCTCTTTTCCCCATCTTCCTTACACTCCATCCCAAGCCTTACACCATTCTACTATCTAGTTCTACAAGTTCAGCTTTTATAGATTCCACATGCAAGTGAGATTATGCAGTACTTATCTTTCTGTACAATGCTTATTTCATTTAGCATAATGCCTCAATGTCCATTCATGTTTTTATAAATGACAGAACTTTCTTCTTTTTAAAGATTGAATAGTATTCCATTGTGTATATATACCATACTTGATTTATTCATCAGTCAGCGGACACGTAGGTTGATTACATATCTTGGCTATTGTGAATAATGATGCAATGAACATAGTTCAGTTATCTCTTCAACATACTGAGTTCACTTTTTTGGGATATATATGTAGAAGTGAGATTGTTAGATCATATGGTAGTTCTATTTTCAATTTTTGAGGAATCTTCATACTGTTATTACATCAATAATGTAAAAGGATTCCCTTTACTGAACATCCTCATCAACATCTGTTATCTTTCATCTTTTTGATAATAGCCATTCTAACAGGTGTGAGGTGATATGTCATTGTGGTTTTACTTTGCATTTCCCTTATGATTAGTGATGTTGAGCACATTTTCATATATCTGTTTGGCCATTAGTATGCCTTCTTTTGAGAAATGTCTGTTCAGGTCCTTTACCCATTTTTTTCATTGGGCTGTTTGTTTTCTTGTTATTAAGTTGTTTCAGTTTCTTCTATATTTTGTATATTAACCCTTTACCAAATGTATCGTTTGCACATATTTTCTTTAAATATGTGGATTAAAAATGTATGATTTGTACATATTTTCTTTAAATATGTGGGTTGTCTCTTTATTTTGTTAATATTTCATTTTGTAATTAAAGTAGACTTTAATCCATTTTGAGTTATCTTTACTATATTGTGTGAGAGAAGGGGCTAATTTAATTCTGCTTGTGGATGTTCAGTTCTCCCAAAACCATGTATTGAAGAGATTATTTTTTCCCTATTGTGTATTCTTGGTAACTATCAAAAATCAATTGACCATAAATGCATGAATTTACTTCTGGTCTTTCTATTCTGTCACTTTGACAAATGTGTCTGTATGCTATTGCCATGCTGTTTTGATTACTATAGCTTTGTAATACACTTTAAAATCCAGTAGTGTGATGTTTCCAGCTTTTTTTTTTTTTTTTTTTGAGGCAGAGTCTCGCTCTGTCGCCCAGGCTGGAGTGCAGTGGCGCGATCTCGGCTCACTGCAAGCTCCGCCTCCCGGGTTCCCGCCATTCTCCTGCCTCAGCCTCCCAAGTAGCTGGGACTACAGGCGCCGCCCACCGCACCTGGCTAATTTTTGTATTTTTAGTAGAGACGGGGTTTCATTGTGTTAGCCAGGATGGTCTCGATCTCCTGACCTCGTGATCCGCCCGTCTCGGCCTCCCAAAGTGCTGGGATTACAGGCTTGAGCCACCGCGCCTGGCCTGTTTCCAGCTTTTTTTCTTTTTGCTCAGGATTGCTTTGGATATTCAAAGAATTTTGTGGTTTCATACAAATTTAATTTTTTTTCTGTTTCTGTGAATAATAACATTAAAATTTTGATATGAACTGCATTGAATCTGTAAATCACTTTGGGTAGTATGGACATTTTATCAACATTAATTTTTCCAATCCATGAACATGAAATATCTTCCCATTTAATTGCTTAGGCTTTAATTTTTTCATCAATATTTTAGATTTTTCAGTATACAGATTTTTTACTTCCTTGGCTCAATTTATTCCTAAGTATGTTATTTTTTGCTATTGTAAATGAGACTGTTTTCATAATATCTTCTTCAGATATTCTGTCATTAGTATATAGCAGTGCTATTGATTTTAATATGTTGATTTTATCACCTGCAAATTTCAATTTTACTGAATTCATTTAACGTTCTAACAGTCTTTTAGGTTGCTTTTGTAGACATTTTAGGGTTTTCTATGTATAAGATCATTTGTTCAGCAAACAAAGACAGTTTTACTTTTTCCTTTCCTGTTTGGATGACTTTTTTTTCTTTTTCTTGCCTAATTGCTCTGGCTAGGACTTTTAGTATTATGTTACATAGAAGTGGTGAGAGTGAGCATTCTTGTCTTGTTCCTGATTTTAGAGGGACGCTCTCAACTTTTCACCATTGAGGATAATGTTAGTTGCAGGCTTGCAATATATGACCTTTATTGTGTTGAGGAGTATTTCTGGGGAAATTGATCAGAGGGCACTCCTTTCCAATATTTAAAGAGGATCACAGTTTTGAATTATTTTTCAATGAATATATAAATAGTAATAACTTGTAATACCATACCAAGTTGAAAATGCAATTGCCATATATATTTATTTAATTAGTTCCTGGTTTTCAGCCTCTGGCAGCCCATTCTACACCAAAGGCCTTTGTATATGTAAATTCTAAGTCCCTCAGAATTAACTGCAGACCCTTCTAAAAGTCTGGAACATTCTTTATGAACAAAAGTTATTTTCCCACTTGTATTTGGAAGTTTGTGGGATTCCAGATTAAGTAAAGATTTTTGGAGAATGGCTTAAAGTTTACCTAATTTCCTTAAAAATACTTTAGATTAGAGTTCATCAATAATTTGTTCTGTCTCATAGTGTGATGGGAGACACCTAATGAGTATTGCAGTTTTACAAAGATTGCAATATTTTTTACATTTTAAATATAAATATGAAACTAAAATGCAAACATTATATTTACTACAAATAGCACTTAATATAATTTTACTTAATATATTTTAATACAGAATTCCTAAAAACAACAAAATTTAGAGGTTCTCATTGGTGCCAGTTAGGTTATTCTGGAAGTTTTGGTGATTCTTTCAGACCCTTTTTAATGATAGAAAGTAAGTTGTAGGAGATTCAAATATTTAATTTGGTTTTCAAAATGACAAACGACTAGAACTAATTAAGCTCTTGGAAAACTCTAACTGTATTTACAACACAACTAAAATTGCATTTTAATATCTAAAAATAAATGTTATGTGACTTTGTCAAATTTATTTAAAAAGTACTCTAATAATTACCAGATAAACAAGTTTAAATGATTGCCAAAACAGTAAATGTAGCTGATTACGAATATTGAATGGTGGAATTCAATTCTTTCTTTAACCGATTTTTAGATTTTGCTATATTGCATCCACATCTATTTAATTTAACTTGCTAATGATTTGTGTTTAAGGTTGCAAACACTGATGAACCAGTTTTTAAAAAAATACTTAGTATTTTATAAATGTAGGGCATTCGAGACAATACAAAACTATTTTTATTTTAAAAATAAAGAAACTGAGGCCAAATTTATTAGGCTTATTGATGAGTGGAACCAGATTTTAAGAGTTTTGATATAGCACTCTCTCCAGTGTATCATTCAACTGTCATGCTAGTTGCGTTGTTGAGCAGATAACTGCTTTGAGACAGCCTGTTACTAAATCCTGACTTTTCTTTTTCTGAGAGAATATTTTGGAAATTATCAAGTGAAGAAGGGGATAGCAGTGTTTAGACAATGCTCAGTTAACAGAGGAATAAAGTGAAAAACACAATGACTGCTCATAACAGAAAGGAAAACAATAATTGCTTAAAACAGTACTACCAAATGATTTTGATTCTATTTTTTATATTTATTATTTTTTTTATTTTAAGGAAAAGATTTAAACTTTTAAAAAAAAATTAGTTGGCTCTAGCAAACAAAAACTATTGACATTAAAATAATAATTTGTGTTTTTAGGTTAGCAATTTGACTAACTATTCTGTTAATTGTAACATTATAACAAATATTTTAAAATCAACTTTTCTCCTTACACAATATTTATTTATATAAAGGCCTATATAGGTGTGAAGAGGCCATTACTCCACATAAACAATACACACTGTAATAT